TGTATGATGAGTTATAACTCGTTATAACTCAAGAAAGGGGAACACACAATAGATCTATAAGGTCGCGGTGATTAACTCCCCTTCTAAACATTCTACATTCTACATTCTTGATTTGATGATCCTTTACTGTCACCTAAAATCAGGAGAACGACAATGAGCATGTTAAGATGAAAAAAAAATTATCAACACTTACCTACACGTTAGTCCGAGGAGTTTTATTAAAAACCTATATTTGCCTAAATAATTTATGTATAAAATTTGCAAAGCAAAATGCAGCGTGTAAACAAAAGAAATAAAATGGCGACAAGTCAACGTCAACGACCCGACAAGGAGAAAAGCGGTGTTCGAATAACAAATTATGGGTCACCAAAAATTGTTTTTGTCTCCTTTCAACGCACACTTTAGAAAGAAAAAGAGATAAACTGGAATACTGAAAGAACGTCAAGGTTTTATCTGTCACTCTTGTCAATAATTTATCGGTAAGGAAGATTCCTAGAAAATCGCTTGTAGTCAAGTTTTCAACAATTGCCAGTTCTCCCATAAGAAGTGTCATCCACCTGGCTAGACCATTGTCTATAAATAAAAATTCAATGGCTAGACATAACGTTGCACCGGCGCGGCGCCGCCAGAGAAGAAGAGGAAAGCAGTCGCAATAGAAATAAATTCGGGGAATCACCGACCAAAATATAATCGATTATAATGAAGTGCTGAATAAAATTAATATATTGTCCAATCGCACTTGCAAAAGGTTAATATCAACTTATGTACAACTGCTCATATGAGTACTGCAGTAACTATAGATCTCAAATCATTAAGAAGTGAAAAATATTTTGAAAATTTTTAGAAACAGGCTACTATTTTGGCAAATAAATGCAATACGTCAACATCATTTTCCAAAAAAGAGACAAAGAATAAAAATAAATTCATGATGAAATCCAGAATGATTACCTACATCAAAATTCTGAAGATAATTTGAAGATATCAGTGTTTTATGGTACTTTAGACATTTCAACTGGTACTCTAGAGAATCATTTTGAAGACTTTCTTAATATATGCCAAAAATTTAATTGTTTATTGGATATGGACCAATATGTATGGATATGGACGTCAATGATGACAATTTAAAATGTCTTAAGGATTGTTATGGATTATTCTTTAGTTGATGAATATAAACATTTTTGCAGTTTATCAGAAGAAATTAATGCAATGACAACAAATTTGCACCTGACGAATATTTATCATTTTTAATTTCCAATGGCCTAGAGTCATGTCCTATCTACATAAAGATGTGCATTACTGAAGATTTTTTACACTATAGCCACCAACAGTGCTGGTGCAGAAGGATCTTTCAGTAGATTAGGAAGAATTAATAATTACCAGAGGATTATTTATCACTTCTCAGTATTGAAGCAGACACAGCCCTGGATCTAAATATAGACGAAATAATTGATTCTTTTAAATCGGTTAAAACAAGACGCTTGCATCTTTGGAATAACTGTTTTGTATACTAACTTTTTTAATAAACAAATTTATAATTAAAAAAAATAAAAGTTTTCATGTAGTCTTATTATTTAAAAAAAGTTTGTAATTTATTTGATCCTTTATTGGTCATTGCGCCCCTTAAGGTCTTCGCCCCCTCCGCCCTTTTATCCACGACACGCTACTGTTCATAGAGGAAATAACTTCTAAAGGAAGAAAATCATAATAGATTTGTCATATTGTGTCATCATATCTGATTGTTTTTATTTACGAGGACCGGATTATTTTTAATCTTGTATTTCTCATAACTCAAAAACTAGTACAGTTCATACCAAATAAACTTTTAATAACGTGATTAAGCTTGTCCGGCACAGCGTTGCCCACTTTTATATATTTTCATTTAATCAAAATATCTTAGGAAACAAAAATAAATTAATTATGAATATATAAACAGTTTTTATTAAAACTTTTTTTTATTTTTTTATTTAAAATATCAACGTTTTGTTTTCCCTCGTATAGATGGGGAGTTTCATTTTTAATTTAGAAAGATATATTAAAAAGTCGAATAATTTGGCACATACTGCTTAGAAAATCATCAAAATCGACCCACTAGAACAAAATATATTAAACTTTAAAATACATCAAAGTTTTAAAGTGCCGATTTTTCGTGCCGGTGAATGTATTTCAAAAACTATACGTTGTAGTCATATACTTTTCTAATGAAACTCGCCTTTATTTTTTTACTAGAATCCAAAAATCAATTAATATACAAGGTGTTCCATTACAAAAAACACAACTTTGATGTGTAACTTTTTTTGGGGACATCCTGTAGAACTTTAGAAAATGCTTTATATTGACTTACATAAGCTCACAAAATTTCACTTCAATACAAACTTTCGTTCTCTTTGCAAAAATTGCGTCGTATATAACGCGCCACCCTGTATAGTTCGATACCATCAAAATTTTAACAATTTGATTTTAACATAAGCAGAATAGTTTAGATTCATTTATTTCAATACATTTACTTAGAAAAAAAATAATAAAATCAAAAAATTAAGAAGGAAATAACTAAGAATTTACTAAAATAAAAAAATTAAAAGCAAGGAAAAAAATGGGTAAATATTTTAGTATTTCGATGAATTGAATTCCGAGGTAAAAGTCTCTCTCTAAAAGTCTAGTGTCTCTCCACTATTCAAAAAGTTTCAAATGAAATTTTCTAAAATGGGGAAAACTTATTCATCAACTTTGAAATTTAGAGGGATTTCCTATGTTCAGGTCGATGATGCAACACAGGGCATATATTTTAGTCTTTATAACAACCAAAGATATTTAAACTCGGGAGATACAATGATCCATTCAGAAAACGCTCTAAAGCTTCAGTCAATTTCCAGTGGCGTGCCGATCGACCGACAGTATTTTAAGGAAATTAAAATAATTGTGTAATAAATTAAAATAAAATAATAATAAAACTTACATCCTACATATTTGTCGCATTGTAAAAAAAATAAGTTGAGGGAGGATAGCAAAATAAAATAATCACCGGCATATTTTTTTATTATAAGATGGCTTTTCACATAAGAATAACGATTAAAAAATTAATAAGCGTTTTTTACTTTATTTTATTAAATAAAATATCAAATTTTAGGTGTATTAGTAAATGCAGTTTCAATATTTTGTTCCAAACCTTGTTCGTCTCCGGCGAATGATATTCCCTCTATTAGCAATAACAAAATAAAATAGTTATTTTAACCTAATAACACAATATTTTATATACATATAAAATAATAAAAACTTAAAATAATAAAAACTTTATTATTATATATATGAATTTTACAACTACAATAAAAAACAGTGAATAAAATTTAAAATGTGCCTTATAATTTTTATTAGTTCACAATTATTGATCATTAATGAGGGAATAAGAAGTAAGAAAATTCAATATTTATTTACCTTAACTTTCATTTTAGGGATGTTTCAAACACAGTAAATCAAAACTGAAAATATAAGATGTATATTATACCGTATGATCGAATAAAAACGGCGTCAGCAATGGCTATGAAATTGCTGTCCTCCTTTCACGCAGTTGAGCAGCTCTGAACTGTTCAAGAACGCGATACTCTCACTCCATTCAATTGAGTCATAAAGCTCCAGAACTGTTCCGCGCCATATGGAGGCACCAGGCTATCGCGCACCGCTCCTTTCAGAACCGTTCTCGAGAAGCCCCAGGGCGTGAAGAATAAAAGAACAAAATAAAATGGTGATTGTTTAGTAAGCGGTTCTTAGTTTAAAAAAATATTTAGTTTTTTTTCTCTTGTTTGCAAAGGAAAATTCATATTGTTTATAAATAATAAAAAGTGCATGTGCAAAGAATTTCAATACAATAAAATGTAAAAAAGTCATAAAATTCATTTAATAAGAACATTAATTATATGTATGTCAAAAGATGTCCATTTACATTATAGCAACCAACATTTAAAACAAAAGCCGTATAAGATTGTAACGGCAACAAAAAAAGTAAGGCCGCAAAATTCCATTACACCCCAATAAAATTTTCACAAAAGGTAGGTAATGGTTTGTCAAACCCAAGTAGGTACCTAGATTAGATTTATTCTTATAAGAAAGTAGGGGTTTTCGAAAATAGATGTTGTTTATAAATTACAGGCGGTTTATAGAACTTAAATTTAATTTTTAACATTCAATACCCTTTCTTAAAAGGGAAACAGAAATTGTTATTAACTTATTGGTAATTAGTATGTACCATGTACCTTTTTCCTACAAATAATTTAGTTAATAAATATATAATTTAAAAAACATAATAAATATATGATTTAAAAAATAAACCTAAAAATATAATTTAGAGATCTGCTATTTTTTATGTCTAGGTACGCCTCTGATCTACAGAGAATATGATATAATAATAGACCTAACCCTACTTATTTTTATTTACCGGTGAAAAGTTAAATTTGGATTTAAATGATACACTCTCTTGTACATAATACATGAATGCGCCATATTTTCAAAATAATGTCCACAGAAGTCCACAAAATAACGCAAAAATACTATAATACTGCAAATAAAGAATATGGAGCTTGATCGGAGGCATAGCAACATCGCAAAAGGAGAATCTAGGATTTTCCATTCATCCTCGAAATACGTTGTACTACGCCGGCATATTTCTAAAACTGACGTTGCCAAACTGCTTTTGATTATTAAAAGAAACACGACCATGATATTTTTATTCCATTATAAAATTTAAAATAGTAAAGCAGTTAAGCATTAAATGAAAAAATTGACGTTAGCAAATTAATGTAGTTGATATATTACAAAAATATAACGAAATCATTTATTACTTAATAATTGGTTGTGGTATTTAATCGAATACTAATACCAATATACAGGTAAATCTGGCAAATGTTTTCGGCATAAGAGAGATGGGAAAATAAGGATAGAATAATGGATGATGAAGGAGAAAGGTAAACAATTGTATCTCTTGAGTTTAAATATCTTTGATAACAACTTACCAAGGCTACGTTTTTTATTTTCTTGGATTTTAACATCCTGACCAATTTCCACAGTATTTTTATTTTTTGTTTCTTTAGCAATCGTATTGCCTTTATCTTTCCTATGTTGTTCAACATATTCCTTTGCTAAATCAATATAATAGTTATAAAAGATTTGTTTTATGATTTCTAAGCGTTCCTTGCTCATTCTTCTCAATTTAGTATTTTGGAATTTAATTTCTCTTCTTTCAATATCTAATCTTAAGTATTCATACTGAAAAGGTACGTAAATCAATATTAAAGTACATTACAAGAGTGTAACTTGAATAAAGTTACAAACTATTTGTTTGTCTATAGAAATAGTAATTAAACTCACTTTGGCATTCAAAAATTTTTGGTATAGTTCATTCGACTGTTGATGATTCTGAATTGTTGTATATGCCTTATTAAAATCATTTTGAAACTCTATTTCATTCTGTTCTTGAGCTTCTTGATCTTTAGCTAAGAGCGTTTCATATGTTCCGTAATTTACAAGACATTTTGTGATAACTTCATTAGCAGTCTTAATACTGTATATATAAAATTAATCAATGCTTATTGTAGGTAATCAAAATAATATAATGTATACCTTATATGAACAGAGTCCAGTTGATCAATCTGACTCTGCATGGATTTTGTTACTTCTTCAATCTTTTTCTTCGTTCTTTCCAATTCTAAAGTTTCATTTTTTACTTTCTTAATTAAATCACTTAAATCTATAATACAATATATTAAAATAAATGAAATAAAATTAATAATAAGACTTTTTAAGACATACAATTTTAAGTTATTGTTTTAAACATATAGGAATGAAGAATTACAAAACTTATTGTGTTTTTTAATAAAGTATTATAAGCTTCCATTCTAAAAGGTATGGTTGCAAAATTATATATTTAAAAATAGAAACATTACTCACACTTTATTTTAACTTCCTTTTGAAAGATTTCGAGATCTCTTTCTTCAATAATGTCACAGATTTTCTTAACAGATTCGGTTGATGTGGCCATTTTGCCTCTACTTAAAACACTAAAAAATACTACTAAATATTAGATAACTATTTGATAAATGCTAAAAATTATATAAACAACTGCTTAAAACACTGCCTTTTCATTACTTTTATCTCATCACAAATGTATCAGATTGATCTAAATCACCTAAATATATTATTTTAATTTATATACAATTAAAAATCTGATCTAAAAAATGGTCTGGTCTAAGCCAACTAGAATATAAAACGTATTTTGTGTTCAATTTATTTGGAAGTATAAATATAGATTGGAATTTAAAATATGTTAATGTAAAACTGGATTTATGGTAATAACCTAGAATTGCTCTAAAATTTACGTTACCTGTGACTTATCAAATTATCTATTAGTTCACACACAAAATTAAATTACAAATTACAGTTTTAAATAAGTTTGCAAAGTTTGGTTAATATAAACAAAAACAAAAAAAATTGAATTCCGTTGCTACAGATTGACATTTTCCACTGCCATAGACCATAGATAACAAGATGACTATAATTTCTCGCAATAGATCAGAGATATAAAGGTAGGGATTATGAGCATGGACTGGCATGGACGCGCTCAGAAATTCTAATCATGTCGGAAGGAGGTCAGAAAGTAATAGTGATTATACGTTTATTGACGGTCATGTTTATTTAATCGGTATACCACTTAATCTTAAAAATATGGAGTAATATTAATTAGACTAGTATAGAGTAGTAGGGTGTTAAAGTGGCTCACTCCTATAACTTTATATTTTTTCAGATAAAAAATGAGATATCGTATGATATTATGAGACATACATTAGGAATTTCTTCTTGATTTTAGATGATCACAAGAAGAAGATCATCCTAATTTATTTGGTTGATTGATTTATTCAATTATTGTTTACGCGGTCATTTCTTGCTTCACCGGAAATGACTACAACTTTGCTACAACTTTTGATTTTTAAATGGCACTATCGGTATATACAAGGTATATACCATGTATATACAGTCCTTGACCGTCGGTATTACTTAAAATATACGTTACGACACTCTCAAGCGTGGTTATTTTTTAATTATTTTGAAGAAAACCATTCAAGTATCAAAAGGGAATAACATAATATATAGTCTATCGATTTCTCCAAGCCAAAGTAGGTAAAGCCATGAATAAAATGTGGTGATGAGAACTATGTATTACCACAGCTTCTCTATGCTTCACTTTAACATCCCCTTTGAATATCTGACGCTCGAATTATTGTTTTTTTTTCTCATTTTCTACCCCTTCGTCCGCAGATTTAATATGTTTTTCGTTATCAGAAACACGTGGGACATATGCGCTATTAATATTTGAAACGTCCAAGTATTTCTTTGTGCCATTCATTTTTGAAACCCCGTACACGCTACCCCACCAATAAAAGAAGCATACTTAAGTATACAGGGTCTGGCAATATTGCGTCATCGGGCATCTGTAGCTCATAGAATACAAAATTTGAGAATTTTGTTTAAGTGCAAACCTAAAGTATGTACGAAGATATTATTCAGGAAAGTATTTTAAGTTTTATAGGGTGGGCCAAAAAAGTATGAGTGGATAGGGATGATTTTTTAATGGAACAGCCTGTAGATAGCTAAAATGCAATAATATGCAGAATATATTATTGCATTTTTGGCTTCCTTTCAGATTACTTCTAAGATTCAGATTACATAATTCTAAGATATGAGTAAATATATTGTGATAATTTCAGAGATATTAATAAATAAATAAAAAATATATATTTTTCAGCCTTTCTTAAAAAAAATTATTAAAAATACAAGAACTGTCTTGAAATCAAAACTATAATAGGTATTTACTTCAGATGGTCTGTACTTACTTTGTTATAAATATGGTAATCATAAATCATACAGAGGATATTCAAAATTCTACGCCAATTTTCTAAAAGCTTTCTAAAATATAAATGGGTTGTTTTGATAAAAAATTACTGTGGAAAATGCCATAATATGAAATATAAAACCGCGAATATCTGCGAAACCGTTAAAAATTTTGAAATACTCCAAATACAAAAAATGTCCATTTTTTAATTCTCCATCTATTGAAAAAGTAATATACAGGGTTGATTAAAAATTATTTTAGTGGTGTTTATTAATATCTATATATAAGGTTAGTGTTTATTAATTCTCCATCTAACAAAGGAATAATATACAGTAGTGTTGCATTTAAAATAACGAAGAACAACCATTTTATATTTTAAAAAGTTTGGCATAGAATTTTGAACCCCCTGCACGGTTTAAGATTACGATATTTATAGGAAAGTAAGTACAGACCAACTATAGTAAATACCTATTATAGTTTTTCCATTCAGGAAATTTCTTCTACTAAAATTATTTTCAAAAAGCCTGAAAAAATATATTTTGTTCGTTCATTTATTAATATCTCTGAAACTATCGAAACATATTTAATAATATTTCAGGATTATGTAAAGTGATCAGAAAGGAAGCCAAAATGCAATGATATACAAAGTGTTCCATTTAAAAAAATATTCGTGATCCACTCACACTTTTTTGAAGCCCCCTGTATCTGTTAACATATTTTTCCTGAAATATATCCTATTACATACTTTAGGTCTGCACTTAAACAAAATTCCTAAGATTTTTATTATAGGAGCTACAGATGTCCGACGCACTTTTGCTGAACCCTGTATACATATTTTCAGAACCAGCTGTATTTTTTACAATATTTCGATTGTAAAAATTGTCTTGTCTTCGTTGAAATAAGGTTGAAATATAAAAGTTAGTTACTTATTAGCTTCAAAGCAGAATTTGTAGGCCTTTTTGGTATTTCTCGTCATAGCAACGGAAATGCATGTTAGATCGATTTTAAGAATCAGTTCACTACTGTGGTTGAAATCTTATTTCCAATTAGAAAAATGGCCGGAAAAAAGAAAAAGTCTTTAGCTAATAAATTAGCAAAAATGTCAGATGAAGAGAGAGCGAGGTACCTTCAACATAGATTATATAAACATTTTTTTTTTTATTTTCCTTTTCTATTACTTTATCTCATCACAAATGTATCAGATTGATCTAAATCACCTAAATATATTATTTTAATTTATATACAATTAAAAATCTGATCTAAAAAATGGTCTGGTCTAAGCCAACTAGAATATAAAACGTATTTTGTGTTCAATTTATTTGGAAGTATATAGATTGGAATTTAAAATATGTTAATGTAAAACTGGATTTATGGTAATAACCTAGAATTGCTCTAAAATTTACCTTACCTGTGAATTATCAAATTATCTATTAGTTCACATCTGGTTCACACACTACATTAAATTATAAATTACAGTTTTAAATAAGTTTGCAAAGTTTGGTTAATATAAACAAAAACAAAAAAAATTGAATTCCGTTGCTACAGATTGACATTTTCCACTGCCATAGACCATAGATAACAAGACGACTATAATTTCTCGCAATAGATCAGAGATATAAAGGTAGGGATTATGAGCATGGACGTGCTCAGAAATTCTAATCATGTCGGAAGGAGGTCAGAAAGTAATAGTGATTATACGTTTATTGACGGTCATGTTTACTTAATCGGTATACCACTTAATCTTAAAAATATGGCGTACTATTAATTAGACTAGTGACTAGTATAGAGTAGGTAGTAGGGTGTTTTTCAAAAGTGGCTCACTCCTATAACTTTATATTTTTTCAGATAAAAAACGAGATTTCGTATGATATTATGAGACATACATTAGGAATTTCTTCTTGATTTTCGATGATCACAAGAAGAAGATCATCCTAATTTATTTGGTTGATTGATTTATTCAATTGTTTACGCGGTCATTTCTTGCTTTACCGGAAATGACTAGCGATGGGAACTATCGATTGAATTAGACTATCGAATGGTTACTGAATGAATGATTTCAACTATCGAATGGTTTTATTCGAATAAAATAATTCATTCATTTGGATACTAAAGCATATGTGACAACCTCGCCGTGCGACTAAATGGTTATCGTTGAGCCACGACTATCGAATGTTTTTGATAAATGAAATTTAGTATTCGTTTGATTTTTGTGTGCGTCAGTGGCATTATTAGTTCTTCCAAATTTTTATAACTTCGCCTTATAAATACTGTGCTATTTTTGCGTTTATTAAAATATTTAAAATACTAAAATAGTAGTTTTTTTAATTGACGATTGTGTGCGTGTGCAGGTGGTCAAAATTTTTCCGAAAGTTTGTGTGATTTTCCGTAGCCCGATCTTTCAATTATTTAATTTTATATGGTATATGGTCTATTTTTTAATGGGAAATTTTGAGAAGTAGCAATTTTTAAGAGAGATGAGATGAACTTACAATTAATTTTAAAAATACATATTTGTATTTTAGATGTTTTAATAATATGAATTAGTTGAACTTAATAATTATATTAATTAATGTGGTTAAGTAAATGGTTATCGAACTCAGACTATGGGGTGAGAAAATTAAATTAAAAGTTTTACACGTGCCAATTTAAAAAAAAGTTAACGATGTTTGTATTTTGTTTATGCTAATTCTCTTACATGTAGTTTTTTGCGAAGAAATATTTCATTTATTTTTTAGTAAGTAAATACCAGTAAAAGTAAATATTATTATTATTAAATAGTAATATAAAGTACCGAATATAAATAATTTTGATTTCTAATTTTTATTTATATTTTCCTTGCATTACACTGCACGCTTAGAAAATTAATAAATGTTTATATTTCATGATTTTAAAATTTGTTGTTAATATAACAAATTAGTTCTGTAATTATTATTATTTAATAAACCAACGTTGCCACAAAAAATTGAGAGACTATATTATTTTTAAATAGGATCTAATATAAATAATTTTGACATCAAATTTGTTGTTTATATTTTGCTACTACTTAAAAAAAATGTTTATATTAAATGATTTCAAATTTTGTTGTTAATAGGTATAACAAATTATTACTGTTATTATTATTTATTAAACCAGTCTTTGCTTAAACACATTAAAAATAATTTTCCTACATCCAAAATAACAAGTATTATTGCAGTGTAACAACAGAATATTAATAAAAAAATATAAAATATATAGACATACTATCCCTAACTAACTAAGCCAAACAATAATATTCTTTGCTAATATCAATTAATACCGAGACTAATACCAATATATGGCAACAGCGCCCTTCATAATGTATTTTCTCTGTAAATACTAGCACCTCAATAAAAAAAATAATGTGTCCTTATCTTTATCTGACTCCACAAAAAATCAAAGATGCCGGCTTCTTTTATAGCATTGCCACCGACGGGGTTTTTCGGAAAGAAACCTACGTCGCCGGGCGACAACTAAAATCCAGTTAATATTTTATTATAATCGATCCTGACGAATAAATGAATTTTCTAAATGAATGAATTTTATAAATGAATGGTTTTTGCTACCGAATTACTAGAATACAATATTTCAAGGCAGATGACGCATCTATTCGATAATTTTTATTCGAATAGTTTTCAACGAATGTTTTTTTACTAGCTATCGAATTATTCGAATGAATTGCAACTATCGAATGTTTCGATAGTATTCATTCGATAGTTCCCACTACTAGAAATGACTACAACTTTTGAATTTTAAATGGCACTATCGGTATATACAAGGTATATACCATGTATATACAGTCCTTGACCGTCGGTATTACCCTTGTTTATATATGGTATTACTTAAAATATACGTTACGACACTCTCGAGCGTGGTTATTTTTTAATTATTTTGAAGAAAATCATTCAAGTATCAAAAGGGAATAACATAATATAGTCTATCGATTTTTCCAAGCTAAAGTAGGTAAAGCCATGAATAAAATGTGGTGATGAGAACTATGTATTGCCACAGGTATTACTAAAAAATATGGGTCTTTTGAATAGGAGCTTCTATATAAAATATAGAAGCTTCTATATAGAATATCTGACGCTCGAATTATTGTTTTTTTTTCTCATTTTCTACCCCTTCGTCCGCAGATTTAATATGTTTTCGTTATCAGAAACACGTGGGACATATGCGCTATTAATATTTGAAACGTCCAAGTATTTCTTTGTGCCATTCTTTATTGAAACCCCGTACACGCTACCCCACCAATAAAAGAAGCATACTTAAGTATACAGGGTCTGGCAATATTGCGTCATCGGGCATCTGTAGCTCATAGAATACAAAATTTGAGAATTTTGTTTAAGTGCAAACCTAAAGTATGTACGAAGATATTATTCAGGAAAGTATTTTAAGTTTTATAGGGTGGGCCAAAAAAGTATGAGTGGATAGGGATGATTTTTTAATGGAACAGCCTGTAGATAGCAAAAATGCAATAATATGCAGAATATATTATTGCATTTTTGGCTTCCTTTCAGATTACTTCTAAGATCATAATATCAGAGATATTAATAAATAAATAAAAAATATATATTTTTCAGCCTTTCTTAAAAAAAATTATTAAAAATACAAGAACTGTCTTGAAATCAAAACTATAATAGGTATTTACTTTAGATGGTCTATACTTACTTTGTTACAAATATGGTAATCATAAATCATACAGAGGATATTCAAAATTCTACGCCAATTTTCTAAAAGCTTTCTAAAATATAAATGGGTGGTTTTGATAAAAAATTACTGTGGAAAATGCCATAATATGAAATATAAAACCGCGAATATCTGCGAAACCGTTAAAAATTTTGAAATACTCCAACTACAAAAAATGTCCATTTTTTAATTCTCCATCTATTGAAAAAGTAATATACAGGGTTGATTAAAAATTATTTTAGTGGTGTTTATTAATATCTATATATAAGGTTAGTGTTTATTAATTCTCCATCTAACAAAGGACAGTAGTGTTGCATTTAAAATAACGAAGAACAACCATTTTATATTTTAAAAAGTTTGGCATAGAATTTTGAACCCCCTGCACGGTTTAAGATTACGATATTTATAGGAAAGTATGTACAGGCCAACTATAGTAAATACCTATTATAGTTTTTCCATTCAGGAAATTTCTTCTATTTTTAAAAATTATTTTCAAAAAGCCTGAAAAAATATATTTTGTTCGTTCATTTATTAATATCTCTGAAACTATCTAAACATATTTAATATTTCAGGATTATGTAAAGTGATCAGAAAGGAAGCCAAAAATGCAATCATATACAAAGTGTCCCATTTAAAAAAAATATTCGTGATCCACTCACACTTTTTTGAAGCCCCCTGTACCTGTTAACATATTTTTCCTGAAATATATCCTATTACATACTTTAGGTCTGCACTTAAACAAAATTCCTAAGATTTTTATTATAGGAGCTACAGATGCCCGACTCACTTTGGCCGAACCCTGTATACATATTTTCAGAACCAGCTGTATTTTTTACAATATTTCGATTGTAAAAATTGTCTTGTCTTCGTTGAAATAAAGTTGAAATATAAAAGTTAGTTACTTATTAGCTTCAAAGCAGAATTAGTAGGCCTCTTTGGTATTTCTCGTCATAGCAACGGAAATGCATGTTAGATCGATTTTAAGAATCAGTTCACTACTGTGGTTGAAATCTTATTTCCAATTAGAAAAATGGCCGGAAAAAAGAAAAAGTCTTTAGCTAATAAATTAGCAAAAATGTCAGATGAAGAGAGAGCGAGGTACCTTCAACATAGAGCCGAAATTGAAGAAGAAGCTAAAAGAAGAAAGGAACAGTTAATAGCCACATTCATGAAAGTAAGTAGTGACTATCTATATACAGGGTTCGGCAATAGTGTGTCAGGCAAATGCTCTCAGAATAAAAAAAAACTTGAGAAATTTGTTTAATTTTTCTTTATGTGCAAACCTAAAGTAGGTATGTAAGAAGGTGTATTTCACGAAAATATTTTAACTTCTATAGGATGGCTCAAAAAAGTGTGAGTGGATCGGGATATGATTTTTTTTAAATGGAAAAGCCTGTATATTATTGCATTGTTGGCTTCCTTTCAAATCACTTTACATAATCCTAAGATATGAGTACATATATTTCGATAATTTCAGAGATATTAATAAATAAATAAAAAAATATATTTTTCAACCTTCCTTAAACAACTTACAAATACAAGAACTGTCCTGAAATTAAAACTAAATTAGGTGTTTACTTTAGATGGTCTATACTTACTTTGCTATAAATATCGTAATCTTAAATTATACGACGTGTTCAAAATTCTACGGCAAACTTTCTAAAATATAAAATAATTTTTCTTCGTTTTTTTTTAATGGAACACCTTGTATATAATTTTGATTAGATGGAAAGTTAAAAAATAAACACAACCGTAAAATACCACAGATTTACGATTATCATATTTATAGCAAAGTAAGCACAGACCCTGGAAAGTAAATACCTAATATAGTTTTGATTTTAGAACATTTCTTGTATTTTTAATAATTTGTTTAAGAAAAGCTGAAAAATATATATGTTACTGTAAATGTCCAAAATGCGGTAAAACCTAGGATTTACCAAAAGCAAGTGGTAGTAAAAACCAACGAACCCCACCAAATAACCACATAACCAATGCATTAACACCCCCCAAATAACCAGGCTATCCAAAGCATTAACACCCTCCAAATAACCAGGCTAACCAAGGTATTAACACCCTCCAAATAATCAGGCTAACCTAATTAGTTAATGCTTTTGGTAAATCCTATGTTTAGCGCGCTTATCCTAGGTTTTACCGCATTTCAGATATTTACAGTAGCATATATATTTTTACTTATTTATTAATATCTCTGAAACTATTGAAATATGTTTACTCATATCTTAGGATTATGTATAGTGATCAGAAAGGAAGCCAAAAATGCAACAATATACAGGGTATTCTATTTAAAAAAAATCATTCCGATCCACTCACACTTTTTTGAGCTACCTATTAAAAGTTAAAATACTTTCTTGAAATACATCCTAGTACATACTTTTACTAGGTTTGCAGTGTTTGCATTTAAACAAAATGTGTAAGTTTTTTATTCTAGGAGCTACAGATGCCGACGCAGTATTGCCGGATTCTGTATATTATAGAGTTAAGTTTATAAATACAGGGTTTTTAAAAAATGCTGGGGTTACAGTTACAGAATGCCAAGCTGGGCTTTATAACAAATAAATTACAATTACAATGACAGCATTTATCTTAGTAGAGGATTTTAACTAATTATTATGTACTCACATTGGGTCGCTGAACGTTTACTATATAGTTTAATATTATTATACTTATTTTTAGCTATTTAGAACAGTAAATGTTGATTTTTGATTATAGAAAAAAATTAAAAAAGAAGAAGCTTTTGGGAGGCTAAATTTGGCTAAAATTAATCAAAACTGGCACCAAATCTTACGAAAAATAAAAGTGAAAGAAATGAAAGATGATGTGGAACATTTAAAGACATATATTGAAAGGGCTTTGGAATATAAAAATGGCACCATTTCTAAACTGATGGAGGAATTGGAAGAAGCTGAAGAACAATATTCAAATAATTTTAAATACCACTCCATTCATTTAGACGAAATTATTAGTAAGAATATATTTTTGTTAAATTGTAGATTTTAGAATAGAAGAATGTGAATGTGTCCAGTGGCGTAACAACAGACTCACGGGCCTGTGTGCAAAATTTTTACCGGGCCCCCTATTACACCTACATATTTCAATACTTATATCCTTTATATACTAATCTGAAGAATATGCACTCATATTTTAGGTTAGAAATAACATTATCAAATTAATTTTTATATAGTATTATTTATTACTGCAACACAGCATATCTAACCCAAAACATATAAAATATCAAATAAATAAAAACAAAAAATAACAACAAAATTAACTAAATTAAAATAAACAGTGTAAATAGGAACATGAACATGTTAAGAAAGAAGTATTGGGAATTGCCGTCATAATCAGCACATGTAATCGCGATATTATTTGAAGCAAGGACAAATTGAATTTAAGTGCTATAGCAATTTTTTATGCCCTTCGTATGCAGGGTGCGATAATAAGATATTTTTTTACGAATGGAATACCTTGTACCTACAGGGTATCCCATTGTGTTTTGTTGATGATCGCCCTTATGAATAGGTTTTCACAATAGTCGGCTACTTTTTGACAAAATGAGAGATGCCCTAATCTAATAGGATTTGTCATGGCCCTCTTAGTTACTGAGCTACAGGGTGATTTTAAAAAAGTGGCAGTTTCTGGCACCTCTCGTAACTCAGCTGTCTTATCGTCCCCTTAATACAACTAGAGTTTTTGTGATTTTGAGTTAACTAGTTTGGCCAGTATAATTTTTCATGCTCTTTTTGATGCTACAACTAGCTTAGTTCTATTTCTATTCCATGGTACAGAAATCCAGTGACAATACAGCAAATTTTCTTTTTGTCAAATTTAATGCTGCTAATGAAAAATCACATATTTCCAGTTACTTTTATTTTGCAAAATAAAAAAGAAAACACAGCTACAAAATTGCACAAGAACAAGTGTAAAGTAATAAGTTATTTTCGTGATAGCGTGTGCTAGTTATGTAGTTAAGAAGACATGTGATAGATAAGAACTTCAGAAGTTCGGGATCGCCCGATTTTGCTTGATTCGCGATAGCATGTGATAGATATGGAAATGCGGCCCGGGCCCTCCGAGAGACCGGGCCCGTGTGCTTCGCACACGCGGCACATCGGTAGTTACGCCACTGAATGTATCATTGTTATAAATAATATGTTTTTTTTATTTTACAGCAAGTCAAAATAATTACATCAACGATTTACAAATGGAGTATGAAAAAGAACTTAAGGATTTTCTCGACGATTCGAAGAAAGAAGAAGTTGATATAATAGAAAACTCGTCAAGGGAAATGTGCTATTTAAAAACGATTATTTTTGGACAGGAAGCCAAAGCAACTAAAGAACTAAAATATTTTAATGAAGAATATAACCAGAAACTGTATCGAGCTGAATCTAAGGTCAGTAAAAACCAAAGTGGAAAAAACTCATGTTTATGCCTTAAATGAGGGCCGTGACGGCCGTCACGCACGAGCAAGCGAGAGGAAAAGTAGTAACGGCAGTGTTGCTATAGTCACCCCATTCGAGGTAGATCTATACTCCTTTATAAAACAATTTCCTCGCTATCTCGTGATAATCTACCCCAATGAAAAATAAGCTTGTAGCAACACTGCGTAACGATCTGTGCCCTACGTGGCTAAGAAAATCACTATCATAAATCACAGATAATAGAACTATAATAAACTTGATACTGTACCAACCTGGATGTGTACCAAAATTCTTTGGTTGTGTGCTAGGAAGTAAATTTTCATGCATATTTTTATCGATAGGTTTGTAGCTTCTGAATAACTAAAGCACCTAGCTCATTTGCCTGCTCAGAATTCGAATTTAGAGTTAGTAACTGGTATTTTCATCGGAGGACACCGTCATATTTATTTCAAACCAATAATCAACGAGAATATTCGTATAATATAATAAAATTACTGATTAAATCTCGATCTATTTCAGGAAAGGTGGAAACTAATTTTTATAACACGGGCCTATATTTGAGTTTACTTCTGAAAGTATTTCCAGAAATGTTTTGCGAAATATTTCGTGAAACGTTTTGCAAAACATTCGAATAACAAGAAACATTCCAACAATATTCAAAGAATAAACTAAAAATCAAAAACAGTATCCACGACAATTTTCTATGGTAATTACGCTGGCTGTGGCAATAGACAAGGCCGAATCCATCGTCGTCGCCTTGCATTATCTCGGATCTGCTGACTGGATAGATTCCCGTGAACTAGTCTTTTAATTAGTTCCTCTAGTTCCTCTCAGTCCTTTCGATCCGGGACAGGTAACATACGGCTGGCACTCTCCACTCCCTCCTAGCATCGGGCTACGATCGCGCTGGCCGATCCGGACGTAAACTGGTCTTTTATTTAGCTCCCTTAGGTCCGGATCCGATAACATACGGCTTGCTTACCCAGTTCTGCCTAGCATCGGACTAGGACAAAGGCTACGATTGCGTTGGCCGATATGTCCGCCGTCGCATATTATTATTTATATCGGTCACAGTCTCGATTCCGGAATAGGTCCTGAGGAACGAGGTCTTTGAGAAACCTGAAACCATTATTATCCGTATCCATTAAAATCCTATACACAGTAATTAAATGACCAGGTCTGTATATCGGTCACAGTCTCGATCCCGGAATAGGGCCTGAGGAATTAGTTCTTTGAGAAACCTGGAACTACTTCCTTTTATTCCGAGGTCGGAATAGTTCATTGGAACTAGTTCGTTCACGAACTACATACCTCTAGGATCAGTACATGAGCAAGAAGGTATCAATTCGCTGCTGGAATTGACACGTACGAAGCCAGAAGCAATAAATAATTATCTAAAAATAGCTAGGAATAAAAATTGTAATTTACTGTAATTTACAACAATAATACTTTTTTACGAGAATGTGTGTATTTAGAGTTAAGAAGAAATCAATATTTCAATTTGATTTGATATGATGGTGTAGTCTTATTTATTTTTGTTAAAGTGTACGTATATACAAATCTACGTAAAGCTAAAATTTAAAGTATTTTAAATTTAAAACATCTTTGATTATATTATAACTTTTTAAATATAACTAAGCGTAATATTACATTAACGAAAACGATAAGTACATAAATAATTTTATTTTATCCACTGTTCAATATTGGGCATCATTTTTAAAAAGTAACATTTTCCATAGGCCAATCACTACAATTCTCTCTTCCTTTTTCAAATAGACACCTTGCCAGTTGTGTAGAATAATGGCAAGCATCTTCAGAATCATCTAAAATTTTTGAGATTTTAAAACTTAAAACATTTTACAATTGGACTTAAATAAACCTTTATTCAAGTCTATGAAACATCCCTCTACTAATGTCTTAATAACATCTTTTTTGTCTTTTTGTTTTACTGATTCAATAATGGCATCGGTTAGTCTTTTGCTGTCTGGAAATCCTTTGGAATTGGTCTAAAAATGTAAAAAAGAATCAACTTCAGATTTGGAAAGATATAATTATCTATGAAAAGTTGATATCTATGAATACAATAATTATAGGTTTGGTGCATTTTCCGCTGGTGCTGCCATCGTCGGAGAATATCATAAAAATCTAGTACTTACAAATACACGGGTTTAAATAGCGAGAATACGAAAAATGTATTATTTAATTATTCTAAAAGTGTTAGGAAGTATAATTTGTGAAAATTCTAAAAATAAAAATAAAAAAGTAAATATTTTGATAACTTCAGAAGGTCTAACTTGTATTACAGTTTATTATTCCAGTTAAAAAAACTTTTTGATGAGTCCAACTATGGTAGCAAGCATAATTTTAATCATCGGTTATGCTAGTAAGGCATAATTCGGGCTATTTCGGCTATAACGAAATTTTTTAAAGGTACATAATTATAATTTTAGAAGATGTTCATAAAACATTTAATCACTAGTTGATTAAAAAAAGTGTACCATTAATATTGCAAATTATATTTTATCCTCTCATAGTATATGTCATTTAATTTCTTGATTATGAAGCACTTTGCTCACTTGTTTCGTCGAACTGCTTAAATCCATTTTTTGCTTTTGATTAAATCAGTGTGAGAAACTATGAAGTTATAAAATTTTGTTTCGGAAGAGTTGATATATCCGGGAAAGTTGAGTTATTGAATGTTATTGCACCCAACAATGCCTTAATTACGTTCTCCTTTACGCTGAACATTTTTTCGGCAATTTTATGAACATTTGAAATTGTCACAATACAACACGACGCCGACGCCTAGTTCGAATTCTTTTTCACTTATTTTTTACTACCCGAAACAGCGTTACATCACCCAAACCTCGTACCTATGAGTGTTTTATAGTCTCAATAACTGCATTAGCAAAAAACTAAAATACATAAATATTATGACAAAACCACGATTTTAATAATATTTTAATGCGATCAACGTGACGGCGGCGCGGCGTGAAATAGATACTGATAATTTCTGATTTTTGCCGTTGAAGCGCTGGGGTCGGATTTTGTTGAAATCAACTGAAATGCACCAAGCCTATAGATACTGGAGACCCAGCATTCCGAAAAAGCTTTATATAAGATTTCTCTTTTCTGGTCATTATTAATAGTAAAGTGAAGATGCATATTATGATGGTAAATTTAAAAATACAAATATTAAACACACCACGTCTAGTTTCTCATAGACACACTGCACCACGCACATATCCTCAGAACTGCTGCTAGTTTCATTTTCATCAGATTGATCTGAATATTGTCCTCTTGATTCTTCGGTTGTAGACGATGTTGATTGTTGTCTCTGTCGATTAACCATAGGTGAGTCATCACTCAGTTTGTTGTTTGACTTAGCTCTCCTCATTCGAATTTTTGTAGTTCTGAGATTGCTTGATACATTTTCTGAAAAATACAAGAAATAATTCAAATGAGTCCAGGAAATATAAAATAGTTTTTTTATTCATTGCAAAATCATTCTACAGGGACATCATTTTGAGTGTCTCACTCGATTTATAATTTTCCTGTTTGGTATTTAAAGATAATAGAAAGATTTTCTAATGTAATTTTTTGCGAGGATGCCGATTCTCTACACCAAAATTTTTTAAAATGTCAATTTTGACAGATACGACGCCATCTTGATTTTTTTTAAATAGAAACCCCCACATATTTTAGCATGGTTCGGTAGACATATTTTAGCTAATTTCAAAAATATATAGTTTAGTATACTTTGCTCTTACCGTTTTCGATATACAGTGTATTTAAAAATGAATTGTTCCAGAATCATTTTAAGTGTCTCACCCAATTTAAAACTTTCCTCTTTTCTATTTTAACATAGTAAAAAGATATTTTAATGTAATTTTTTGCGAGGATGCCGATTTTCTACATTAAAATTTTTTACAACGTCAATTTTGACAGATACGACGCCATCTTGATTTTTTTTAAATGGAAACCCCCACATATTTTAGCATGGTCCGGTATACATATTTTAGCTAATTTCAAAAATATATAGTTTAGTATACTTTGCACTTACCGTTTTCGATATACTGTGGATTTAAAAATGAATTGTTCCAGAATCATTTTAAGTGTCTCACCCAATTTAAAATTTTCCTCTTTTCTATTTTAAGATAGTAAAAAGATATTTTAATGTAATTTTTTGCGAGGATGCCGATTTTCTACATTAAATTTTTTACAACGTCAATTTTGACAGATACGACGCCATCTTGATTTTTTTTTAAATGGAAACCACATCAAATTTTAACACCGCCCGATAGACAAATTTTAGCTAATTTCAAAAATGTATAGTTTAGTATACTTTGCATTTACCGTTTTCTATATACAGGGGGTTGAAATCAAGAATTCCTCTAATTTTTATGTATTTGAATATGATTGCCATTCACTTACAACTGAGTGGCATTTGTATCCAAATGCATGAAATTTACGTAAATTGAGCTATCTTATGATAAATGAGCAGTTTAAAACTAAATTTTCATTTTTTTTATATACGGGGTGGTCCGAACTGTATTCCGGAATCTTCGGCAGCATACTCTGCAGATAAAAATAAGTAAAAAAGTTCGTATAAATATATGTCCTACAATACTTAGTTTCGGAGATACAGGGTGTAGAAGTTTCATTTTTATTTCGAAAGTGTTAAAATTTGATGGGGTTTCCATTTAAAAAAAATCAAGATGGCTTCGTATCTGTCAAAATTGACATTGTAAAAAATTTTAATGTAGAAAATCGGCATCCTCGCGAAAAATTACATTGAAATATCTTTTTATTATCTTAAAATAGAGAAGAGGAAAATTTTAAATTGGGTGAGACACTTAAAATGATTCTGGAACAATTCATTTTTAAATCCACTGTATATCGAAAACGGTAAGTGCAAAGTATACTAAACTATATATTTTTGAAATTAGCTAAAGTTTGTCTACCGGGCGGTGTTAAAATTTGATGGGGTTTCCATTTAAAAAAAATCAAGATGGCTTCGTATCTGTCAAAATTGACATTGTAAAAAATTTTAATGTAGAAAATCGGCATCCTCGCGAAAAATTACATTGAAATATCTTTTTACTATCTTAAAATAGAGAAGAGGAAAATTTTAAATTGGGTGAGACACTTAAAATGATTCTGGAACAATTCATTTTTAAATCCACTGTATATCGAAAACGGTAAGTGCAAAGTATACTAAACTATATATTTTTGAAATTAGCTAAAATATGTCTACCGGACCATGCTAAAATATGTGGGGTTTCTATTTAAAAAAAATCAAGATGGCGTCGTATCTGTCAAAATTGACGTTTTAAAAAATTTAGGTGTAGAGAATCGGCATCCTCGCGAAAAATTACATTAGGAAATCTTTCTAATATCTTTAAATACCAAACAGGAAAATTATAAATCAAGTGAGACACTTAAAATGATGTCCCTGTACCTAATAATACTTTTTCTGATTGGTTGCTTCAAGAATGATAGTGATGAGCGAGACTAGTCTAGACCTACCAGTGCAAGACTTCCGCAAGATCAAGATCAAGACCAAGCATGCAAACCTCTTGCGTTCTTGCATTATGTTTACGTTTATGTGATTTCGTTAGACAATAGCGTCTAATAATTTCCTTCTTTAGCGTTTTATTTGAATTAAATTACTAAAAATATTATTTATTTAAACATTTCCTATGTAGAAAGTATACAGGGTGTCCCAGGCTGAGCGTGCATTAGAAGTTTCTAGTAAACTACAAGATCTAGATCGGAGAATTTTTGCACATCAATGTTTTACGACGAGATCTATCGATTAAAAATATTTTCGATATGGCGGCACTTCCGAAAATACCGAAAGTTGACAGCAACTTTCTTAATTTAAACGGGTGCCCCCATTTTTTATTACATACTTAAATTCTCTGTAAAATTCTATGAATATTGATGTTAAACACTCTAGACCTAACATTAACCGGTTTTTTGAGAAAAAAATATTTAAAATTTTTGAACGAAAAAAACTACCTGTCAAAAAATTTGTATTGCCTAAAAGTTAAATTTTATAATTACCACAGCCACTGCGACATAAAGAGAAGACATCATGTCGCTCTCTATTTCAAAGATTAAACTGTTCAAATGTCATATAATAATGGCGGTAGCTGTCATGGAATTGAGCGATTAAAAAATTATCATAAATTATTTAGTATTTCAAATGGAGACCCACTTTTTTATTTCACTAGTGAAAATGTTTTTTAATTCGTTATTTTATAACTATACATGTTCCTATATCCTAAAATAAATCGTTTTTAAGTTATTTAAAATTTAGTTTGAAAATGTATATTTTTTTTATTTTATTTATCTTCCTTTGACATAGTGTCAAACAGCCTGGCAATTTATTTCCATCTGTCAGAAAACAAATTATTTGAATTTCCTGTATTATAAGACCGCCTGCTTAAGTGTTTGAAAAGTGTATTAGTATTATTTATAAAAATATATTTCGTATTTTCGGCCTTTATATTTAATAATATCAAGTATTGTGATATCTAATAGTTGATATTATTAATAATATACCGTATGATCGAAAAAAAAGCGCAAGGTTGGCTTGGAAATGATAATCGATAATATAGGTACTGTTTTTTGAACAAAGTGTCACAATATGACATTGCCAATGTATAGTCAAAAAGTAACTAATTGACTAACGCCTTTTCACTAGTGAACAAAAAAAGTGGGTTTCCATTTGAAAAAAAATATTAACGATAATTTTTTAATTGCTCAATCCCATGACAGCTACGGTCAATATTATATGACATTTGAACGATTTAATTTTTGAAATAGGTAGCCACATGTCTCCTCTTTGTGGTACAGTGGCTGTGGTAATCACTAAATTTGACGTTTAGGCCATACACATATTTTTGACAGGCAGGTTTTTTCGTCCAAAAATTTTAAATATTTTTTTTTCTCACAAACGGTTAATGTTTAATATCAAAATTCAAAAATTTTTACAGAGAATTTAAATATGTAATAAAAAATGACATTTAAAATAAGAAAGTTGCTGCCAACTTCCGGTATTTCCAGAAGTGCCGCCATATTGAAAATATTTCTAATCGATAGATATCTTTGTGAAACAATGATCTGCAAAAAATCTCCGATCTAGGTAGTTCTCTAGAAACTTCTAATGCACGCTGAGCTTCGTACACCCTGTATATCTAGTAAAACTCTCTTACAAAATGACAATATTACAAAAAAAGACATACAAGACTTTTGCAGCAAGATTAATACTGGACTGCAAGACCACGACCAAGACCAAGGCTACTTATTACACTGCAAGACCAATAGAGTCATAATCTTGGTCTTGCATCTGCCCGTCATTAAAGAGTGATCAATCAGTCTTAAACTAGTTTCTAGTCTATAAATATTATAGAATATAATAAATTCATTTTTTATTAATTTACTCACTGCCAGACAGTGTTTCACCACGTAAAAGTGGTGGCATCTCATTGGATTCCATAGACGTTTCAGTTTCTTTAGACTCAGATGTACTCATGTCTTTTGTCCTCTTGGCAGAATCATTAAGCTTCATACACTGAGTTAGTATCTCTTTCATTTCCTCTTTCTTTGATTCCGACAAACCGCATTCCGAACACTGGATGTCAATTTGTAAGAAAAAAAAGTGTAAATGGTAACAGTCCAAATATTAACCACAACCTATTTGTTACCAGCAGGTCAACTTCGTGTGTTTTAGAGATCCCCCTGTCACTATTGAGGCTCCCCTTATACTTGCGGGTTAGTTAGAGTCAGGGGGTCTCACTGGTACAGGAAAACTGGCAATTGTCAGTTCTCTCTTGGACAGGTATATGGAACCTAGACGATGATAATATGATCTTTAAGGTTTCTCTGCAACTCATTTAGAATTTTACTAGAACAAATCCTTCAGACTGAAAGTTTATTTTTGATATTCTTATTAAAATATACAGGGTGTTTACAAACACGTGTGCTATCTACTTGCTTTTACTTGTCAATAGGAAAATTAGTTCTCCTAGCAATCACTATGGTTTATCATGCTTACCTGTTTTAACACATTTTTTCGCAAATTTCTATAGTTAAAGCTTGATTTTCACGCATCCGTTGTCCGACGATACGATGATACAATATTAATTTTATTGGTTGAATTTAAAGGCTTCGATTGGTTAACCGTTTCTAACCAATCGAAGTCTTTAAATTCAACCAGGTTAAAAACGGTTAACCAATCGAAGCCTTTAAATTCAACCAATAAAATTAATATCGTATCATCCTATCGTCGGATAACGGATGCATGAAAATTAAGCTTAAATATCTTCATTAAAAATATTTCATTTTGGGAATACCGGGTGCGTCTCAAAAGTGGCTCACCCCTATAACTTTTTTACTTTTTCAGTTAAAAAAATGAAATTTGGTATGTTAGTATATGACATAAATTAGGATTGATTGACGTATTCAATTGTTTTCGGTCACTTCCTGTTTCACCGGAAATGACTACAACTTTTGATTTTTAAATGGCATCCTCGGTATTTTATTCGTATAATATGTACTTATATAGAATACAGTTTCTTGTATGCAACACACTGTATTTTATTTATAAAATTAAAAGAATATAATAATAAATTTGAATAAATAATATTTGGCGATATAATTCCGGAAAAAGCCGAACCGCTCCGCAATTTTCAAAAGCTTAGGGTCGCGATCGTTGCAGAATAGCGCCAAATAGTGTTTACATTGTCCTTATGGGCACTTTGCAATCTAACTAAACTTGTTTCATTTATCTATGCATACACTCTAGAACGTTATGTTCTAGAGTGTATGTCAAAAAGCTCAAAGTTCAGAATCTGACTTGTTACATAACATAAGATAAGCGAATATGTAGATGGTATCGCAATTTCAATGTAAAAGATTCTACGTTGGTCGTCTGGTACAGAATAGGCTGTGATATTGACAATTAATAATTATAATCGCTATTATAATGTTTACAATAATTGTGTTTTGTTGTCCTAATATTTCGACTAAGATAAACAAAATCTAAACCTGTGTCTAAACTAAGTATTGCATACCTGCACAGAACTAACGTAAAATAAAACAAGCACCAGTATCAAAGAAGTAATCCTCATATTAATCGGTTTCATAATATTATTCACCATTATTGTTGTACTAGTTTTATGACTGAGATGAATCTGTTTTTATATCGGCATTCGATGTCACAAAGCCGAATCAATTAGCCAATTTGACAAATAATCGGATTCATGGTAAATTAAGCCAATAATAAGTTTATTTTTTCAATGGGATCTAGAACTAATTTTTCAATAGTTGTGGATGTTCTTGCAATTATCTTGTCATGTTTGTTGAATTCTGTCGGCCAAACGCATTTAAGACGCATTTGAATTTTTCCTGTGACTGATTTATACAGAGTGTCCCAATATTTCGTGGACATAGAACTACTGCGTATTTTTGGAATCAAAATAAGTTCATTGGACACAATTTACCTCTATACAAAAGTACTTCGTTTGTCCGTTAGAGGGACATCAAACATTAAAAAAATAAACACATTTTTTCAAATATTTTAAGAACCGTTATTCCGATTTTTTTCCGGATTTCGAGTGTCATCATATGTTTTGCTAACTGCTCTAACATTTGACTTTTACAAAATTCAAGAAAAAGTACGGGAAAGGTGAAAACTACCACCACTCCTACATAAGTTTTAGTATAAATATTTCCCAACTCCACCGACGGCCGATTTTCTTTTCGTAAAATGGTCCCTCTATTATGTACTACATTTTTTGTATAAAAACCGCCATCGTACATATACTTTTCCAGGAGAAAAATTATTTCTCCAAATAGACCAGTCGACAAGTGGTTTTAGGTGGAAAAAATTGGCGCCGGGAGGCACTTATATCTCGAAAACTGCGACTTTGATTTTGATGTTATTAGAAATTTTGTTGCAAATATTATTCCTAATCTCAATTTGAAAACCGCGTTTCGCTAGCTACTGTAATTTTGGAGTTACGATTTTTTAAAATTTTTAACCCCCTCCTATACCCCCTTACCAACCCTCACCCCCACCAAAAACTAATGGCCAGATTCTAGGATGCCACAGTATTTTTGTGCCAAATTTGGTTAAAATCGGTTCAGCGGTTTTTGAGTTATCGTGTTACAGACGGAGAGACAGACGGACACCACGAAAATATTTTGTATTTAGGCCATTTATGACCCAAATAACTCATTTTGAGTAAAATTAAAAAAACTTTTTTTTTGCCGATCCTAATAGCCTACCATACCTATTGGTATGGTCGGCTAATACTTAGGGGCAAGCTGCAATAACACTTATTATCTTTGTTTTGTTTTGTTGAATACCCTACTAAATTTGCACGGTATATCGATCCAGGATTTGGCCGCCATATTGAAAGATCATGTCAAATTATGACATTTTTATGTTTTTTTTAAATAACTCGATCTGAGTGCACTATACAGAAAATTTGCAAGATACCAAAAAGAAAGTTATTTAAATTCTCTCCAAAAAAGTTCTATTCACCGATTTCGTGCATGAACAGGTTAACGAGATACAGGCGCTTAAATACAAAGCATATATTTTCTAGCGGTTCATTTAATATGAGAAACTGATTCTATGTAAATTTGAATAATTTGCAGTACAAATTTGTGTTTTTCTTGTGCTCGTTTCCACACCGCACTTTTTTTTAAGTGGTTTCCCCTATATAGGCCTAATCCACTTTCTTGCCGTTGCAAATGTTCTATTTTTATATCCATATGACATGATATGCTTTATAAGTGTAAGATTTTTTTTTGTTTACTTTCTTTATAAAATAATAAACAATCTAAACAACTAACAAAACCATAACTCGTGACAGGATAATTAAAATGTTTTAAAGTATTATATTGTCAGGAAAACAAATATATAATAAATCACAGACTCACCAAATAATCCCTGAAGCATTGACCCTGAGCGGAGGCGTACTTTAATACCTGTCACAATTAAAAGTAAGGATGAGTGTCCAGTTCATAATTCCGACCTACTTAACTGCTATATGCCGATATTGTTTTGCTCTAACTACCTATTATTTATTTTCTATTTATCTTACTAGATGGACTAATTTATCTTTGTGTCTCTCAATACAAGATTTACAAACATATCTATGCAAATGCACTGCTTGGCCTTCCGCCCACGCACCCCCTGATGGCGCGGACTCCAGACTAATCAGCCGCACGGGCAACAGAATAAACACAACATATCGATCCCGAGATTCGAGGACTCTGGGGGCCTGTTCCCGCCGCTGAAGACCCGGAGGTACCGTCCCAGACATAATAATAATGTCCGTTGACACACGGCGTACGGAATCCCAGATCCCTACCGTGTGCGACGTTGCGACATTACGAGGATTCGCGTCCCTGCTACTATGACATTACGGGATCCCAGATCCTGCCAGGCAACATTAACGGGCCTATCCTTGCGCTTCCTCAAGCTAAGCAGTTCTAACTCTACTGAGAACAGAAATGCACTAATCCACCTAAAGCTTACGTGGCTATCATATTAACTAATTATTTACTTTACAAAAGAACTATCCAATCTCTCTCTCTCTCTCTCTTGATTACAAATTTACTTATCTCATCAAATACTAACGTACTGTCTTGCCCCCGTCCACGCCCCCCCGTGGCACGGTCTAGACCAGTGATTCTCAAAGTGGTCCAGGTGGACCCCCAGGGGTCCACGGGAGACTTGCTGGGGGTCTACGTAGGCGTGAACAAAAAATGGGGGTCCATAAGATGTTAATGGGGGTCCACGAAAATTTATCTGCTTTTGATAGTAAAGAGCAAAAATGTAAGCATAGTTTTTATAAGGGCCTACCTACATTGTTTTAAGTACCTATCTAAGCAGATAATATTTTAATAAGGCAAGCGACTGTTACTTGTCCAAACTTGCGTATTCGATATTACGTACAATTTCGTGTACAGACTTGCAAAGCGCTATCCGCCCGACAATGCTTAATGCTTGTTCAGACATGAACTTGATCACCACTATAAATACTTGATGCCAAAGGCAAACGCATTCATTTGTTTCCGGAATTTCGAAAAAAAGGCGGAATTTGGAAAAAAAGTTGTGAGAAAATTTATATCTGTGTTTGCTAGTGCCGGAGAAAAGTAAGTAACCTACCTTTTTTTGTTATAGTACTTAAGTATTTTGTTTACGTGTACTAGTCGGTTGATCACAACGGCCTGTATAGATAGGTAACTTAGTAACTTACAGATATTTTAATTGTCCTCTTTCGATTTGAAGACAAACACAGCACGTTTTATTCAATTGTTTTTTCACGAGAGAAACACTGCCTCTCTAAAAGGCCGAATAAGCAATATTGCAGAGCAATTAATTTTGTAATTTTTCTTGCAAATAACTACTAATTTTATAAAACAGTAATTTCATAATCATTTTAAATTGGTTTTGAAGTAACTATTTTATCAAAACTATTCCTTTTCGGAAAGAGCGAGCGGTGTGCGGGCGACGGGAAAAGGCTCCTTGGACTTCGATGCCAGTTTGTCACGTTTTAACAATGAAGCCGCAGACAAAAAATACGCAAATACACGGAGCGCGTGAACTCATTGATTTAATAAAATGTTAGTTATCGTTTTTATGGACAATTTTGGGATTTCGACTTTTATTTTTTCCTACACAAATATGATCAGTATTCGATACTGAGTACACCAATTTTTATTTATACTATTAAAAATTAGTGGTAAATTATGTACTTTAAAATTGATACCGTTTTGTGAAAACGTCTGTATTTGTCTCAGCGGTTTATTAGTTGGTCCCTTTACAAGCCGTAATTCTATTTCCGCGTGCTGACAAAGGCTGCGGTGTGATACCTATATTCAGAAAAAACTTGGTTACTAAAACTTTTTTTTACAGGTAAGGTAACTGACACGAAACATGGCTACAGCAAAGAAAAAATGTCGACAATATAGTATCGATTATTTGAAATATGGTTTTGTTCCATCAGAGGCAGACAAACAATTGCCCATGTGCCTATTATGCAACAAAGTTTTGAGCAATGACTCTATGAAACCATCAAAGCTCGAAGATCATCTAAAAAGGTGTCATACTGATAAAATAGGTAAAGATTTAAAATATTTTCAAACATTGAAAGAAAAATATGGAAAGAGACCCACCATGCACAGTATGTTCGCTTCAACATCTCAAAGTAACGATGATGGCTTGCGGGCATCTTACAATATCTCATTACTTATAGCAAAATCTGGAAAACCGCACACTATCGGAGAACAATTAATTTTACCCGCTGTTGAAGAGGTTTTAAAAACTGTTTTGCACAAATCTCCATTTGACGTACTAAAAAGAATTCCATTAAGTAACAATACTGTACAAAGACGCATTGATGAAATGAGCTCTGATATCGAAAGCTTTTTGTGCAATCATCTGCAAAAAACTCATTTTTCTATACAACTGGACGAGTCAACGTTACCCAGTAATGAAGCATTACTATTGGCATATGTCCGATTTATTGTTGAGGAAGAAATTCACGAAGAATTGCTATTTGCCAGAACTTTGGAGACTGACACTAAAGGCGAATCAATATTTAATGTCCTGAGTAATTTTTTTACGGAAAAATCGATCCCATTTACAAACATTATTTCAGTGGCAACAGACGGAGCTCCTGCAATGGTCGGGCGATATCGTGGGTTTATAAGTCATCTCAAAAGAATTATACCAGGACTTACAGCTATTCATTGCGTAATCCACCGACAACATCTTGTGGCAAAACATTTAAGTGACAGGTTGAACCAATCTCTTCATTTTGTAATAAAAGCTGTCAACAAAATCAGAAGCAATGCATTGAATACGCGTTTATTTGCTCAATTGTGCGACGAAAATGATGAAGACTTCCAACGACTGCTCTTACATACTGAAGTACGCTGGTTGTCGAAAGGTGCATGCTTAACGAGATTTTACTCTGTTTTCGATTCCATATTAGAGTTCTTAGAAAGTAGAGATCCAGATTTAAAAGAAAACTTGATCAAATTCAAAGCAGACATTGCGTATTTGACAGATTTGTTTAAAAAATTTAATGATATTAACTTGCAGTTACAAGGGGACAGCCTGAATTTAA